CACGCTCCTCCCGCTGCTGCCATCGCGCGCCTCTGCCAGGGACCCGGCAGCCAGGACCCTCCGCGCCCTCGCCCCGCCTCTGCCAGGGACCCTGCGAGCCTTTGGGGGGGCGCCCCGCCCCTCCCCACCCAGGGGCCACCCGCTGGCAGCGCCCTCGGACAGGCCTCTCCAGGGTAAAGCCGCTGGCAGGACAGGACTGAAAAGGATCGGGAAGACAGCCCTGCCGGGAGCTGCTGGCGACTCTGGCCGGCCGTGGGCATGGGTTGTGGACAGCAGGGGTGGCCACTGGCCCTCCATCCCTCCTCTGCCTCCCGCTGAGCCCCAATTTAGGATTTTACTGCGGTGGAATTCTGCATACCGCCCTCATGAGCTTGGAGGGTGTGGAGGGGGCTGGATGCTCCCAGACTGTGGCTGGAGCTGAACTTTGAGAACACAGCTGCTGTCAGCAGAGATGGGGTCTGTCCATGGGTCTGTGCATCTCTGCGTCCGTCTCCTGTCTGTCCTTCCTTCCCTCTCGGCTGCACCTCTTGTGTCTTCCAGCCTGACCCACGGGCAGGAGGACGTGCAGCGCCTGCCGCCAGGAGCCCGCGGTCTGAGGTCTGCCCCAGCGTGCGGGGGGGTGGCTCGCTGCTGCCTGGCCGTGTAGCCCTCAGAGCAAGTGGACAGACACCTCCCCGTGCGCCCTGGGTCTGACTCTGGGCTGCAGACTTCCTACCCACAGAGAGGCCCCCACACGTGCATCCGTGTCCCAGGGTGGCCGGGGTCAGGGTCAGGGCCCCGGGGGGCTGGGTGAGCCTGGCCCTCGTGTGGCCCACTGTGGGCCGTCAGGAAGCCCCGGCCCTGAGGGCAGCCCCACCCCGCACGCCTGCAGGAGGCTGGGGCGTCTGGGCCTGTGTCCCTGTCCACGTCTGCTACGTGTCTGTCCCTTTCTCTGCTGCGTCTGTGCCTTGGCCCGTCTCCTCCCCCTCTGCCCTGTGAGGCCCCCACACCCAGGAGTAGAGGCTGCGGAGCCCAGGCCATGCCTCCGCTGGCGCTGGAGCGGGACCCGCAGCGGCAGCACCGGGTCTCGCTGCTGGTGCGCTACCTCATGATCCCCTGCAACGCCTGCCTGATCCTGCTGGCCACGGCCACGCTGGGCCTCGCCGTGCTGCTGCTCCTCAACGGCTGTACGTGGCTGCGGTGGCCACTGGCCGCCCGGGGACCCTGCGTGTGGCTGAGCTCCCCGCCCCAGCTGCCAAGGACTAGGGGGCAGGCAGGGTCACCGAGAGGTTGCCAGCTGGGGTGAAGCTCAGAGGAACCACCTGCATCTTCTGGGACAGGATGGCCATTCTGGATTCCTGGGTCCCTGGACGCCACTCCTTGGGGTCACGGGGGACTGACCATCCTCCTGAGTGGCAGGAACAACTTTCTCGGGGGGCTGGGGAGGAAGGGGCCAGGCGGCTCTGCTGGGAATGGGGCTGTGGCAGGTTGGGACTGGGCTCACCTAGCAAGTAGGTAGGTGGCTCCCACAGGCCTGCAGCTGGAGGGCCAGGGATGAGCAAGGCCTCTGCCTTTGTCCACCCCCAGGGCTCGGGGTGGGGCCAGGGCAGGGCAGGGCAGGGCAGCAGGAGTGACCCCACCAGGTAGGGTGAGGGGGACAGGCTTCGGAGGGGCTTGCTCCTAGGGGCCTAACTTGGAGATTTGTTTTCTTTTCCAGACAAACCTGGGACCCACTTCACACCAGTGCCCCTGACACCTCCAGACGGTGAGTGCAGGCATCCGCTAGTGACAGGCTGAGGTTGGGAGTCCACGCCTAGAGGGTGGTGGAACTTTCGGGGTCAGGGGCCTCTCTTGGGGTATGTCTGGAGCAGGGAGGTGGCTAGACAGGGACAAGGAACTCCTTTCCAGGGAGTCCACAAAGCTGGGCTATGGAGGGCGCATGGGTTTGAGTCCCTGGGCCCGGCAGCCCCTTGGCCAGCCATGCATACAAACATGGCTCTCACTTCCCTGGGAGTAAGGCCTGGAGCCCACAGGTTGTGAGATGGTCAGACAGGCGCAGAGGGTGGGAGCTGGGGGCCTTGGCGGGACCGACAACACCTGTCTGGGAAGGGGTTGGGCTGGAGGGTCTGTCCTGGGACTGAGCACGCTGGGGCCTGGCCTCTTGGGGCCTACGGGTGTGAGAGGGGAGAGAGGAAGCTGTTCGGGTGGCAGGAGTGGCCTGCGTTCGGGGAGGAGGCTCCCTGCTGGTCCAGTACCTGCCCAGGTTCACGGAAGTCACAATAGGGCCTGTTGGTTGTGGGATGGGCCGTGAGAGGAGGCAGGTCTCTGCTGGGCTGGGGCAGGTGCCCAGGACCGTCTCCCAGAGGCTGTGGGCAGTGCCTAGGGCGGCTTAGACTTACAGATTGGGCTCCATGGGAGGACACCCTGCCCGCTCTCGATGTCCTCGCCTCCTCTCCTGATTCCTGAGGGCTGGTGTGCCTCCTGCCCTTTACACACCTTCCCACAGCGGCACACACAGGCCCAGACCCGCCTCCGATCCCATTGCACACTTGTCATCCCTCCCAGGCACACCAGGGATGTGCCTTGCAGGCGGGATGTGGGGTGTCCTCTCCATCCCCAACCCCCCTAAGACCTGGAGGGGAGTTTCATATACGCACTCAGCGGGTGGCTATAAGAAACCACCCCATCTCCAGCATCGCACACTGTGGGGGGGCCCTGGGCCTGCAGGGAGTGAGCCTATGGTGGGCATGGAGTGGCCAGAGACAGGCTCCTGCAGGAGGCTGGGCTGGGGCAGGGCCCGAGGGGACCGGTCAGGGGCACAAGCCCAGGGGTATCTGGGTGCTCCCCCGCGTTTATGGGCGGCAGTTCGCATGGTGATGAGAGCGAATACAGGGCTGCACGCGTGTGCGTGGATGTGTGATTGCCCTGCCTGTGCTCACGGTCTCTGCTTGTGCAGCTTGTATGTCCAATCAGAACCTCGTCTTGAGACTTTATGCTCCCTGGTCCCATGGAGGTGCAGGCGCATAAATGGACAGTCGGGAAACGGGCATCAAGGGGTGCACGGGAGCAGCCCTCACCCCGCTGACAGCCTGAGCCCTGGAGACTGGGAGAGCTTCCCCCC